GAGTATCTATCGGAACCTACTAAGCGGCTTATCGATCGCATCTCCTCGACTCCTCCAGAGGACCATGAATATTTGCAAAAACTCCGAAAAGCCATCAAGCGACGCGCCTGTAAAGACAAAAAACAACATCTTTGCGATAACCTACTCCAAGATTCTAAAGTCCCCCCCTCAAAGCAATGGTCCACTCTCAAATATCTACGTAAAGACTACACACCACGAACACAGGGGATTCGCAAGCCTAATGGCCAGATGTCCACCAAAGCCGCTAAGCCCGACGTTATGGCTAGTCATTTAGCCACCAAAGTCTGGAACCATAGAAGCCTTCCAGACTTCCAGAACCCCCCTCCGACCCTATCTTCCCCCCGGCCCCCGTTGACACCAGCCCATTTACGGAACCCGAACTATTACGAGCGCTAGCGGTAGCGCGTCTAACTTAAGAATCGCAAAGCCCCGGGCCCTGATCAACTACCGGCGGAAATCTGGAAGTTCGCTCCCAGATCGGTTCATGTTGCGCTACTGGCGCACTTCAACAAAACTTTCACGCAGGCTATCTCGCCTAAATCCTGGAAGGTGGCGGATATAGTGATGATCTTTAAGGGCAAAAAGAAAGACCCCACTCTCCCTACTAGCTATCGCCCCATCTCTTTAATTAACACGGTCTACAAGCTTTGTGCCTGTCTTCTACATGACAGATTAAATCCTGGTAAATTGACAATACCGGTTTCATGTAATTCAAGCAATCGGCAAAGGACAAACAGAGGCGTAGAGGTAGACTTGCCGGTTCCAAAACCGAACTGAACCGGCGAGATACGGTCGTCAATGACCGTCCCGCCTTCGCCCAGGGCATCCGGCAGGGATGCCCCTTATCGCCTTATTTGTTTATCATTACCCTTTCAGTTCTTTTCCACGATACCCATACAGCATATGTGGCCGAATATGGCCCTCGACCCTCAGTACTCACTACTGATTTTCGCCTCACAGAGAAAGAGTATGCCGACGATACAATCTTATTATCCCGTACGAGATTATCTCTGCACCGTTTTCTGCACACATTACAGGCCCACTCTTACAAAAGGGGCATGTCCTTGAACCATGAGAAGTGCCAACTTCCCTGTACAACCCACCCTTGCCAATGCGACTTCTACTGAGTACTGCATGCCCACAGCTCCCCCAAGAACTTCGGATAGATCCCAAACCCCACGCCGATTACTTAGGAGTTGTCCTCACTCATAATTCCGCCGCCAAGGCGGACGCTAAAAAGCTCTATGCACAGGCCTCACACGCGGCCAAATGTCTACACGACTTCTTTAGACACCCGCCCATTACCATCAAGCGAAAGCTGCTAGTTCATTCCCAGATTGTGTTGGCCATCCTTCTGTATGGCTCGGAATCGCAAATGTATTTACAGCCTGACCTCACCAAATTGAACAAGCTGCACTACAAGGAGGATGGCCCCATGTTTGCCTAAACTCCCAAAGGGGTTGGTACTTTCAGCAATGGCATGGCTGTATGCTCACATGTATATATGTCCGATGCACATTGGCTCAAGTGGTTTTACCGACTTGACACAAGCTCTCTCTGCGTAGCAGCGTAGCAGCAGAACAAAACACTTGCTGTCCGTGTGCTGGGCGTTGCCTTAGATCCCACGGGACATAACTGGTCTGTACACTCCCACAGGAGTAATCCTAAAGGGGTGTATCGGCTCAGTTTTCTGGTAGCGGAGCCCGGAAGGGCCGCCCGCCTCACATAGCACCGCAACAGCGGTCGGCGTTCAGCCGATCGCTTAACAAAGCGGGCTGAGGCAGCACCATGTCGACCTCGCTTAGCCAAGGCGACGACAGCTCCCAATCCTCCGGGGGATACGAAGAAGAGGAGACCTCTCAAGGTCCAGCTATGTATGTGGCACAGTCATATGCATCATCTGATCGCATGCTAGCACATCTAGGCATAACGCCAAAAATCGCGCCTGCCTATGATGGCACCACTTCGTGGTTTGAGTATGAACAGTTGATTGACGACTGGTGCGACATAACAACGCTGGACGACGTGAAGAGAGGTCCGTCTCTCAAGACAAGGCTCTCCGGGTTGGCCGCAACGCAGAAAGAATCATTGAACAGAGAAAGGCTTGCAGCCCCAGATGGAGATTATTTTAAGAAGAAAATGCGTCCATTTTTCGTAAAAGGAGAACAGTATGGCTTCTTGTGGCGGTTCCTTGGCCTGTTTAAGGCGTGGAAGGGAAACCAGGACTTTGTCACCTGGATTGCTAAGTTTGAGATCGTACTGCAGCGTTTGAGAAACTCTTGGATGGACCTCTTACCAGAGGTAACCCTGGAAGATACCAACCCAGAATTTCTTGCTGCCGTACAAGCTGATGCAACCTTTGTACGCCTACAGGATCCAAACGAAAGGGAACAGTACGCCGCACGATACTTTGAGACGTGGAACAAGGAACGCCTTGATATTGAGAGGTTACCAGGTTGGTGTCAGCCCTGACCAACCAAGGGTACCGAATTGAGACCTACACGTACCCTGTGGTACGACAGACCATGTTCGATCAGTTTTCGACGACCAGAACTGGTCTGCAGGATCCCAATAGTCGGCACACTTCTCACAAGAAGGACAGACACAGACGGAGAGACCAACGCCGCAAACGCGGAGGTCGAAACTTCCTCATCCTCGATCAAGGTGAATATGATGGAGCAGATGGTTTCTGGCTCCAGGATGAAGACACCCTCGAGGAAGGCTTCCTTGCCGCTGAGGATGAGACTGTCTTCTGGACAGTCGATGATCACGAGACCTTCGTTGCGAGGAGATTCAAGTAAAGGACGTGGCCGTTTCAGGTCATACCGCGGAAAAGGGAGAGCCAACCAGGCAGAACACGATCCAACCGATTCCAGCTATTTCGGTAAAGGAAAAGGAAAGGAAAAAGGAAAAGGTGGAAAAGGCAAAGGAAAAGGAAAAGACAAAGGAGACAAAGGAAGCTCTTTCAAAGGCGCGAAGGCCAAGGGCAAAGGTAAGGATGCAGCCAAGTCTGCCTCCTCACAAGGAGACCAAGTAGGATCTCCACAGGCCTATGAAAGTTCCACTGCACCGAGCTGGGATTCATGGTATGGAGACAGTTATTATACTGAATCAGGTTGGAATTATGCCGCTTATGATGAAAATACCTCTTACACGTACTATGCACATGCCGCAAAACGAAAAGCACGGAAAAAGAAGAGAAGAACAAACAAAGGATCAAATGGAAGAGGCACAGATCCGAGCGCGCACCATGAAACCGTGTACAACTCCTCAGAAAGTTATCTGCCATTGACACAGGAAGAATGTCGGGGGCTAGGTGTGGAAACTGCAACAGCAGCATTTCCCTTGCAACACACCTTTTATCTGCTCTTACAGAGCGGATCATTCTTGATCGAAGCCCTACCTTTGTCATTCTTGACTCAGGTTGTACAAGGGCCATGGGATCCCGCTATGCGGTGAATCGGCTTATCAAGGCCGTCAAACAACATGCTCCAGGCATGATTGATTTCACCTTCTCTCCTTCGAACACGATGTTCTCTTTTGCAGATAGTGAAACAGCTCTTATCAAGGAGCGAGTTACTCTCTGGTTCAATACGACACCAAGGAGAGATACAACTATAGAAGTGCTTGATCAGGGTCGAGTTCCCATTCTGTTCTCCATTGAACAAATGAGGAATCTTCGGGTGACCCTTGAGTGCAGCCCCACAGCAGACCTTGCCACGTGTGAAGCTTTTGGCCTTAATAAGACTCCTCTCCCAATAAGCACCAATAATCATTTGGTATTGGACCTCCTGAGCTTTACTTCCACCAGGAAGTATCTTTCCAAGTCAGGGTCATCGTTTCAGGCGACAGAAACTGCTTTAGGATCGAAGAAGCCAAAGGAGAAAAGGAGATCTGAAAAGAGAATTCCAGAAGGTCGCTGTCCGGCATGTGCAGGACAGAAAAAGCCTCACACTTTCAAGAAAGGCTGCGACAAGGCACCTGAAGGAGCACCTGATCCTGAACCCAGAGGTATTCCGGGTAAGAAGAAGGCACCTCCACCAGATCCAGCAGAATCATCTGCAAGGAGATCTGATCCACCAGAACCACCTGGTGATGCTCCTGAACCGGCCGAACCATCGGAACCTTCATCAGGATCAAAAGACAAACCGCCTGAAGTTTCGGGAGCACCCGAACCTCCATCCGAAGAGAAACTCGAGCTTCCACCAGGAAAGGTGAAGACCCCAAATAGTAAGTTAACGCTTTGCGCGGTCTGGCGGTGACTCGCCGGTCTTCTTTACGACACCCCAGTTGAAAGCCCAACATATAGTTGGTTTCAAGGTTTGAGCCGGTATCTGAGCCTCCGTTTGAGCTTTGGGGGAATTTTAGGGTTTCGGGCTCGGGCTGCAGGTAGGGTACGGTGGGGTTTAGGGTTTAGGGAATGTTGGGGGGATAGAGCTCATGCGGCAGAAGCTGCACTGCAACCCCTGTGCCGCTGTGCCCTCTAGTCAAGACTCGTATGTGTTGAGTGTTTGCGTGTTCAAACATTGCGGGGCGAGAAGTAAGAGAAACGAAGCACGAGAGCACGTTTTCGCAGGAAGGGCACCCAAAATAAAACAACCCCACCTCCTTCCCGAGCCGCGGCAGCCGCAGCTCACGACCAACGAAGGGTGAAAAGGGGTGCACGAGGAGAAAAAAGGAAGGAAATTTTCGGGGGAGATGACACTCGGAAAACTGAGGTCTGGATACCCCATACCAGGAGAGAAATTAGAAAGCAGAACGCGACGGAAACGAAAAGATTTGAAAGAAACCTGGACGGTGACCTGACACTACCTGATAATATGGCTGCACGTAAAGCTTGACTGTCGCAGAAACTTCGGAATGGATGTTTTGCACACCAACAGCCATTCGGTCACTCGGTATGTGCCGCCGCATGGGGTTCGCTGTACAAAGTACTTCAAAGTACAAACTGCCGGCACGGTCCTTGCAAGCTTTACCGATCAATCGAAAATCGTATTTGCAGCTCTTCGAAACGCAACGTCCGCTGATGCCACGTCCTCTTCAGCCTGCCGTTTTTTTCCACGGCCTTTGCCTTTGCTCTGTCTCTTTGCACTCGCACTGACAGTTTCATGCACAGCAGCATGACGGCCTTGACTCGGACGGCTTGGAGAGGCGGACCCGATCTCAGCGCTCCACGAGGCAGATCGGCGGGTAATCAGCCATGCCTTGGAGTTCACATCACTCCGCCGCAACATGTGCGTGAAGCCATACAGTAGGACAGCCAGTGCACTCGGAATGTGCATCGAATTGCCCACAAACGCCTTCACATTTCTCGAAACGGACGACGGCGAAGAGGATATGTCGGAGCTGTAGCGGTCGTGTCTGAGTGTCCCCCAACCATGCACATTGAGGAGCTCACGATCAGTCAAAGCTCGGGCGGATGTGTGCTCCACCAGGTTGCCATGCGTCAACAGACAAGGCACAAAGTGCGACGGAGTGCATTTTCCAGTGCCCGGGTTCTGCTCCCAGTCACAAAAGAAAGGCAAGTCCATCTCCTCGCACGGTCGCTTCTGACGAAGTTGCTCATATGCCATTCCAGCGGCGGCATTGCTCGGGTTGGCTGCATTGCCCAAGCACTGGAACCGCTCCTCTCTGTCTGCCGGTTCCTGCAGCAGTGCTCCTGCACCCAGGTGCAGCTGACGCAACTTCATGCGTTCTGCTAGCTGGGATCGCCTAGACGACCACGAATCTGTCATATAGCAGTCGCCGTTGGAGTTGGTCTCGGCTCCAAACATGCCGAAGAATCGCTGCGCCTCATCACATCCATCTGGTGGCGGGATCCAAGCCATTTTGTCTTTCGTGATCCCCAATACATACAGTCGGGGTCTGCTGCAAGGAAAGCCCAGGTCCTGCGACAATCAAAACATGTGAATCTATATTGAATGATCACAAAACTGCCGAGTAAACTGACTAGCACGAACCGAACGTTTGCTCTCACTTTGCTCGCATTGTCACACCTTCGCACTGTCCCTCTCTCTCTCTCTCTCTCTCTCTCTCTCTCTCTCTCTCTCTCTCTCTCTCTCTCTCTCTCTCTCTCTCTCTCTCTCTCTCTCTCTCTCTCTCTCTCTCTCTCTCTCTCTCTCTCTCTCTCTCTCTCACACACAAACCGTCGCATCAACTTGCACTGGCACTGCTCGCACGTCACACGGTAACTACACTTTCAACTCTCCCACACCCCCCCAATGCCTCGCATGCTCCCTCACTGTCACCCTCACCTGCACTCTCACCATCGCCCTGACCCTGACCAGCCCCGGCTCTACCTCCTTCACTCAATCCCGGACTTTCTACTGAACGTTGCATCCAGAGCACTGTGCATTCGACTGAGTGCCCCAATGAGCTGAGCCATTCAACTTGTTTGAACCTCTTTGTTGTTCAGTTCGGCATTCGGCACTGAGACTCAGCCGAAATCGAAAGTCGTCTCTCTTTGAAATCTTGAAAGCCGCCCGCACAGCACCGCCACACAGGTTCGCCCGTGCAGCTGTGCAGGCACCACATCTTGATTTTGGCAAAGTTCGGACTGCGAGCAGCAAGCCCACAGTCAGAACACAACAGTGCTGGCAGGTGATGCTTATTGGTGTGACAACAGAGGGGTGTCCACGTCGCATGCGACTGATTTACATGCTCTGTGCAAAGCATTACTTCAATCAGCCAGATAAATATTCATGTGTATAATAGTCGGCCCACACTCGGACTGTCATTTCATGCCCTCATACGTACGACGTACACTCAAAGCAACACCTGTGCTGCACTGAAGCTGCTGGTGCCAAAACCGCATCACACGGGGAAAATGTGGCATCATCACCCCTGATGCCATCGGGACTCAGCTTGCCAGCCCTGAGCCACCAGCGCCACCGGCCCCGGCAAACACGTCAACCTTCTGGTTCACTCACCGCTGCCGTCACCTTCCTTCTTGGACAGCATGTCAATGATTTGGTCGTACTTCTCGCCGGCCTTGCCACACATGATCAACATGTCTCGCATGGCTTCGTACTGCTTCAGGTCCTCCTTCGTCGTGTCGACAAGGAAAAAGCCTTGACGAGCAGCAACAAGCACGGCACCGTCAACAGCCAGCTTGAAGCAAAACCATCCCATTGGAATGCCGATGACCTGTCCTGGGATGGCCTTGTGGATGAACAGCTTGATGCCGGCCTTGTGCATCTTTACGAAGGCATCCATGTCCAAGTCCTCCAGCAAGCTGCAGAAGGCATCGACATCAGCAAACTTGGAATCAGGCTTCAGCATGCCAAGCTCCTTGAGCCCCTTGAGCACATCTGTGCTGGAGAGACTCACATGAAGGACTTCACCCATGGCCATGGTTTTCAATGTCAAAGCGCCATTGGCTTGCAAACCAACGAACCGCATCTCGGGGGCGTATCCTGCGAGCCAGGTCGTGTTCTGAAACGTTTGGCTTGCAGGGAAAGCCTCCATGTTCTTCACAGGGGGGATCATGCCGGAGAACATGTCGACCGTGTTCTCGTGCCCATGCTTGGCCTCGAAGGCTGCCGAGACTCTGCCACGGTTGAGGTAGTCGGGGAAGGCCTTGTACTTCACTGCATAGGATTGCGTTGTCTTGGAAACAATGGGATTCGTAGACCATTTGTCCACAGCAGCGGCACCTTTCAGCACCCATGGCCCAGACATGCTGGGCAGCTTCCCAATCTCGACTTCCGTGAAGGACTGGAGGCTGAAGCCCTCTGGCAAAGCATTCTGCGACATCTTGTCCAACATGAACTGGCAAGCCACATAGCCGACATAGCCCTTCTTGCTGATGCCGCCCTTCTTCCCCGCCAGCAATGCCTTCGCACGTTGGTCGCTCTGCTCCTTGAATGCATCCACTTGCTCGCGATCCTTCTTCTTTTGCTCGGCCTGGGCCTTCCGTTGCGCTTCCTTCTCCTGCTGGGCCTTTCGGGCCTTGGCATCCTTGCTTGCCTGGTTGACACCCTTCTCCAAGGATTTCATTGCCAGCTTCTTGGCACCCCATGCCTCCTTGGCTTCCTCCAACTGTGCCACAGTTGTGGCCGCTCCTATGCCCTTGTCAATGCCGTCCTGGAGCTGAGAGAAGGACTGGAGGTGCTTCACATGCTCCTCCTGAACCGGCAGCATCCCCGGGTGGTTCTTCAGGAGGTCATCAATGTTGTCATGGGCTTTTGCAAAGACGACATCCTTCAGGAAGTCAACATCCGTGTATTCGAATACAGCCGCCGAGCAACGCAACCGGAACTCCAGGTGAGGCATCAATGCCTGCAAAGACGGATCGGACGGGTCTTTGCTGGCGACAAACTGTTCCATGCCCTTCCTGGCTGCCTCTCGCAAAGCAGTCTCCAATGCTCGAAGCTCGGCTTTCTGCTTGTTGATAAGCTTCGGCTTCTCGAGGGCCAAGTCCACAATCTTCTCCTTCTGCGGGCTCGAGTTTTGCTCTGCCGCCGAAGTGCCAGCAGCGCCAGCATTGGCAGCGGATGGCAGCGGCAGCGCCGGCTGCGGTGTCCGGGGTGCCACTCGCCGAGCCTCTCCACGTAGAAGGCTCTCATCAGCCGTCCTGGTAGAAGCAAAATCCCTGAGCTCATCCAGGTCCTCCTCGGTCAGTCTCCTCATTGGCCGGCTGTTCTCCAGCACCTGCGACTGGTTGAAGCGGGCTTTCTTGCGCTGATAAAACTCCGCTGCCGGCACCCAGAGGCGCTGAGCTCCCAGAGCACCATGGGGATCTCTGCCCATGTAGTCCTTCTTGCAGGTCGCCGACAGCTCCTTCCACCAGTTGGTCGCCCCGGTGCTGGTTAGTCGCTTGGTGTCGGTTGCCCAATGCAGAAACTCGGCTTCCGTCATTGGCCAATCTTGGCCCAGATCTCCATGCTCATCCAAGGTGCCTTCGATGTGCTGGTACTGCGCAAAGTCGTGCGTTCTCTTGCGAGACCACTTCCCAGCTGGTGGGTTCTTCTCGCACCATTCACGCATCGCCACTTTGCTTCGAATCTCACAAGCCATGACTTCTTGCAGCTCTTCCTGCTGCCCATTCTTCCGAGCATTGGCAAACATGGCTGCATAAGCCCGCTTGTGATCAACACACCAACGCTGGTTCTTGCAAGCTTCATTGGGGCAATCTTCAGCAGCACACATCTTCGGTGCCTTCGCGGGCATGCCCTTGGCCTTGGCGGTGGCAGTGGACGGTCGCTGCTGGGAGGTCACTGCCGCAGCAGGTGCAGCCTCGACCTGAGTGGATGCCTGACGGTTCTGCTGCTGTGGAGAGTCGCCGTCCATGGTCCAAAGTCCAAAGGATGGCACGGCTCGCACTGGCAGTCACTTACAACAGCTGGCTCAAGTCCAAAAATCTGCACGAATCATGTATGTCACAGGCATGTTATTGCGAAGCACTGTTAGTTGCAACATCATACTGTGCTGGACTCCTGGACACAAAGTTGGAGCCGTTTTTGTCGGTTGTTTGAAAAGCATCAACACGGTTTGAGACAAAATTGGAGCCCCTCTTTTTTCTGTTGTTTGTAAACATAGTAAAAGTTGGAGCCCTTTTTGTCGGTTGTTTGAAAAGCATCAACACGGTTTGAAACAAAATTGGAGCCCCTCTTTTTTCTGTTGTTTGTAAAAATAGTAAAACACATCTGGCCTGGCTAAGTGGAGCCCCCTTTGTCTTTGTTTTCGGAAGCACAGCCTGTCTTGTTGAAGTGATCAAGGGCCAAGAGCCAGGGCCACTAGCTCGCTACCGAATATCAATATCAACTCTTGCACACACTGTCCCGCACCATGTCTTCCACAGATTCACAGATTGGCAAGCCTACGTGACCATGCAATTCGATCTGCACGAGAAAGCAAAACTGCCTGGTGGCTCCTCCGTAAAAAAGCGGCACTGCACTCAGGTTTGAGGCGAGTCACGTCCAATGTGATGTGTGATATACTATGTGTCCTTGTGGCGCACATGCGACTCCTACCACAAAGCCAGATATATGGCTTGACAGTCTGATGCATGCACTATGCACACACACAAGCATAACCGCAAGTATAAACACATAGGAGTCACACGAACACAAGTCGGAATCTGCTCGTGCTCTGCTGCATCGGACATCATGCACTGCACATGCACTGCCACTGCCTACATGCACCGAACACAGAATTCACTCAATGAAATGCAGCAAGACAGTCCTTGGGTCCGAAGGTCAGAGGCACTAGGTAGTGGGTGCCCTGCAACTTCTCCTTGATCTTCTCGTAGGGGAACAAACTCACATTCTCGAAAAGGAAGAAATCTTCCAGACACTGCTGCCGCTCACTCAGATACACCTGGAGCGCCATCTCCGAAGGATCCGCGGCTTGCTGCCGCAACCGCTGTATGCAGTGCAAGGCAGGCCTGCGCAATTCATGAGGAAGGGGCTCGTTTGAAGCATACCGGCTGGCATGCATCTGGACTGCCGAACGTGACAATGCTGCTTATGCACCAGGCAAAATGCTTGATGATCCGCTGGAAACGCCAACGGACCTTTCTCTGGGTACCAATCCTGTGCTGCTCTCTTCTCCTCGCGAGTGCCACAAGCAGGCGGTGTCTGCATCCCCAGTTCTTCCCGCACGCTCTGCGGCACCATGTCTTCCACAGATTGGAAAAGACATGGTCGTAATGGACCATCCATTCCATGTGCACGAGCAAGCAGAAAAGCCTGCTGGCTTGTGCCACTGTCACACCAGGAGCTTTTGACGACCCACCAGGCGCCGCCGTCGCCGTCACTCTGGCTGGCTTCGGCCAAGTCGTGCCCAGCACTTTCTTGCATGGCCAATTGAAGCATTGAAGCAGTCTCAAGGCCTCGCCAACTGCATCAATGCCGCTGCACACGCTCTGAACCTTTAGGCCAGCTGCCTTGAAGATCTGCAGGCGATCACGGTTGTCTGCATTTCTTGTGGCTTTGTTCAGCAAATGCATTGGAAAATCTCTCACATAATTGTCGGAAGTCTCACGGGCCAAAGCTGCCATGGCCATTGCCACAGTTGCCACTGAGAGGAACTAGAGTTTATTGAGTAGGGGGCTTACAAGGCCTATGCAAAGTGTTTAATTCAACATGCATACCCACTAAATTGTTCAATGCACATTAAACTAGGCCTTTTGTGCTGCTGGCGTCTGCTTACTGACTTACTGATGCACTGATGCACAACCAAGCAGAAACGAATCTTACAAAAATTCGCACAACACTGTCACACTGTTAACACTGTTACACTGTTCTAGAAAACCACAAGCTCGCTCGTCGCCAGCAACCCTCCCAGGCTGGTCTATTCATGGGATTCCTGAGTAGTTCTCAGCAAGCAGCAGTGGCCGTAGCAGCAATCATGTCATGCTGCATGCTGCTCGCGACTCGCGGCCCTTGGCCCCTTGGAACACGGCGGCTGTGCACATCACACGCAAGGAAAGCACTGGTACACGAAGTGACATGGAAGCTGCTGCTCTGGCTCCGGCATTACCGGCATTACACAGGTCTGCAACACTGCAACACAAAAGCATGCACTCAACAGATTGTTGAACAGGAAAGCATCTCTTGACACGTGCCTCCTCACCTAACCTACAACAGCACTGCAATCCGATTGTTGTTCCTTGGTACGGCATTCGGGGTGTGTTTGCTAAAGATTATACAGGGCCACGAAGCCAAGCGAGCCCAGAGTTCCCACAGTGCCACAGAGGCTGAGAGTAGCCGGGCCCGAGCGGCCAATCACCATAATCACCAGTAGGAGTCTGATTCACCGGACCACAAGCCACAACTTGCCCCCAACACCCAAAACCCTCCATGTACGACAGTTTAGGTCGCCAAGACACCAAAGTGGACAGTTGCTCTAAAGTGCGCTGTTTCTGGCTGGATTCGGCTTCTTCGCAAGAAAATGCACCGACTTGGATAAGATTCGCAAATTTCGAACGATTCTGCATGATTCTCGTGGAATCCAACACAACTTGCAACTTATTTGCAATGGCAAGAGCAAACTGATCTAGATCCTAAACCCTAAATCTAAACCCCACAAACACCGGAGAAAAAACCGGAGGAGAACCGGAGGAACCGGAGAAGAACCGGAGGAGAACCGGAGGAGAACCGGAGGAGAACCGGAGGAGAACCGGAGGAAAACCGGAGGAGAACCGGAGGAGAACCGGAGGAAACCCGGAGGAGCACCAGAGGGCCTCAAAGGGAACCCAAGCAGCCGAAAAGTCAGCAGACTTGCCTCGTTGAGGCTCTCCAAAGCCCAATCCACCAACTTGCTGCAAAAAACATACTGAAAACATGCTCTCCGCTGCATTTGCTGCTGTTGCCTGCAGTTTGTACCGTTTATGCTCACGAACGAGGCTTCGGGCCGTTGCGGGTGCACTTTAGCTCTACGGGGCGACCTTGGGCATTTGGGCCCCAGATTGCTTTGGGCAACTGGGTTGGTGGCACCCAGAAGTCTAAAGTACCACTATTACGTTTGGAGGCTCAGAAGCGATAGTATTTCGCAACTGCCTTACCCCTCTATTGGTTGCAGGAGTTAGCAACACCGCTGGTTTGGAAACTTTAGCCGAATCTGGAGCAGCGTCAGTTGGGGGGTGTCTTTTCCGAGAGGGATCATCAGACCTATGCAGCTCATCGTCTGAATCTTCGACATGAACAACTTGAAGTCCATCATTTTCTTTGACAGCAGGCATCTCCGTGTCGGGATCAGATGGATCAGGAAGCGTATGGCGCACACTAGGCACCTCAGGTGTTGGCGCAGAGGGAGCTAAATGCTGATCGACTAGTGACCCAATTCCTGCCGCAGATAAAGCAAGAGAAGATGAAGCTTTGGGCAAGGACAGGTGAGATGCGGCATTGATGTAAGCCTGCTGCACGCGCCTACTGGCAGCCGTTGCAGCTTGCACTACCACAGTCGTAACAGACGACTGGGCTCCAATCTCATCTTGCCATTGGGGCGCTTCCTTTGCATAGGGGGCACACTCAGGCGGCAAGTGGTCTCGATAGACAAGTCGCAGGCCTTGCAGATTGTCATAGGAGTAAGCGAGTCCACAGTCCGCAAACTCTAGCGTGCAGTAATGCTCCCTGCTAGGACAATGAACAACAAGCGCCTGTACTTGGAACCTAGTGTTACCAATGTCATCAAGTGTGAGTTCGTGGCCCAGCAGGTCATAAGCAGCTCTTTTGTAAGAAAGGTTGTGCGATTCCAAAACAAAGGCGACCGAGCGTGGATAATGTAATCCATCAGGCTTGAGCTGCGTATGGCATACATCGCAGGTGCTTTGGCACACTCCAGTCGCTACAATCCGGGCAACAGACGACTTGACAGCCGCATCGAAATTGACGATGATATCATCATGTGCTCCGAGGTCGGTTAACAGAACCGTATATTGCGCATGTTTAGCACATCGGAGAGCATCGGAGAGCAGCCTGCATGCTCAAACGATTGTTACAGGCGCACTCAGACTTGATCTTCAAAGCAAGGTTAGTCTGGGATACACCCTGCAAGAAAGGGAGCGCGTTCTCAATGGTATCATTGACGGAGTGGAGTCCTGCTGGGTCCTTCGGGTGGTATGAAAAAAGTGCATCAACAAAACCTTCGCGAAGGCTTTTGCTCCAATCTCTCGTGACAAGCCCTGCGCCAACCGCAATGAAGGCACTCTGGATGCTACTTGGCGATTTGGTAAGCTCTTCTTTGGATAGTCTGCTGAAGGCCATGACCCGAAAAGCGCACGCGAGGTGACACACAATGGAGTCAAGCCGGGCGGACACCTGGAGTCGGAGCGCGGCTTCAGTAACCCTGACCGGCAATGAAGTAGGCGGAGGTGGTAACACAATACCCGCATCACAGCCTACCTTGGCAATATCATCCCGCGTGTTGCTTCCAGACCTTGGTGCGGGCAAAGCAACTCCTTTACCAGAAAATGGGGTAACGGAAGTATTCCGCAGCCCTTGCGCACCTGTTCTGCCAGATGCCGCAGCAGCTGTATCGATAGACACAGTTTTATCATGAGGCTGGACAGCACCACTATGAGGCCCAACTTTCAGCGATTCGCTGGGCTGGTTCGAAATGACAGGCTCACTAGACCGCTTAGGGAAGAAATTGAGGGGAGATTGGGTGGCAAGTAGCCTGTCCCTATCAGTTTCGCGGTTCGTGAAGCCTTTGTCCTGTTTCTTATCATTGCACTCATTCCGAGCATTCCCAGGATGACTCCTTCTGAGCTCGGCAAGAGCAGAGCAGACACCTTTGGATATGTTTCCAGCACGTGCGGCTGCTGCCTCTGCAACAGATGTAGGAGC